CCCTCATTTTACAAAGGAGATGGGACAAGTCCCGAGGTAGGAAGCCCTGAACCTACACAAAGTCACACCCCTGGGGTGGCACAGCAGAGGCAGTGTCAGGAAGTGTGACTCAAGTCCAGTTGCTATCACCTACCAGCTTGCAATCTTGGGCATATCACTCTATTTCTTTGATCTTTGGTTTTCCGATGTATAAAAAAGTTTTTTCTAAGGAAAAGGAATATAAGATACTGACCTCAAAATAGAGTTAAATGAGTTGATGCATGTAATGTAAGTACTCAACAAAAAGCTTGGCATGGTCACTGATCACAAATCAAGAGAAGGCTGGAATATACAGTATGGTTATGCCTGTTCTAAAAGCCAAGAAAGCCAGGATCAGCAGGTGAAATTGGCTAGCATCAGAGAATCCAGAGTCAGGTCAGGGCTGGGCCCCTGCATCCTTGTAGAAGAAGCCCCTCCCAAGGATCCTGGGACCCTTGCACCTTCTGACTCCCTGCATAGATTTAACTGTACAGCAGATGCCTCTCCATCTTCAGACCTGGTCAGACTGATCTAGAAAGAGCACCAGCTTCTCTGTGCACAGAGGAAGTCCTGGTCTGGGCTTCCCTGACTGATTTGCTCAGTGCCTCCATCTCCCTGAACCTTAGTCGCCTTACATGGTAAATGCCCCTGTGTGGCATTCTGGGGTTTGGGGGTATGATTTAGCTTATTACAATTCAGTGGTTTAAAAACTGTGGTGTACCAAGAGTGGAGTACTCTGGGTTCCTGTCCAGCCTCTGGGCAGAGCTGCCTGACAGCCTGACCACCAGCCAGTCCAGCTCTGAATAGGTACATGGGTGCGACTGACAGGGGCTCTTTGTTACAGCAGCCTAACTTGCATCCTAAGTAAAATACTAATTTAACCTGAAACTGAAAGCATGGGAAAGACATTGGCAAATTCTCTGTGATCCACAAGTTTAAATCCAGATCTAGAAATTTGTCAGAGAACAAGGGAGATAGGACATGTCCCTACTAAAACAAAACAAAACATTCCTCGGAATTCAAGGTCTCTTTTAGAGGCCTCCAGGGTCCCTCTCCTGTTTCAGCCAAGCACATATCGAAGTTCTTCGCACAATCATTTGAAACTAATGTTCTACTTTTTTTTTTAAATCAAAACCCACAAAACTTATGAATGAATCATAAGTATTGGATGTGGTAAAGTTTATTATCCTATCTCATTAAATGCGGTCAAATATCACCAACCTCCAAGTGGCCAGTGTTGCTGGTGAAAGCAGCACGTGGTTCTGATGATGAAGGCGGTAAAGCAGCACTTTTAACAATTGCCAGTGAGACAGTATTTCTCATCACCTGACACACAGAAATCACCTGAGTTGTGGGCCCCAGGTACAAAGGTCTCCCGGGAAGACCAGACTTCCTGCTTCAGAGACAGGACCTAGTGGCCAGGGCTCATTAGCACCTCCCATGGGCCTCTGCGCTCCACCCAGGAGCCTGATCTCACAATTTCACTAGCGCACGTTGCTCCTCAACCCATGGCCACCACATCAAGCTCCGAGGAGATCCATTTCTCAGTTGGGGAGAGAGAGAGAGAAAGAGAGAGAGAGCGAGATGGGAGGTACCCAGTTTTGCCTTGAAGTTTTTGCTCCAAGAAGCAACCTTTCCTTTACTTACCCCAGTTCTGAAATTGGAGCTGTTTTTCTCTATCTCCTTCTTCTTTGGTGGTAGTGGGGTTTGAATTCAGGGCTTTGCCCTTGCTAAGCAGGAGCTCTAGCACTTGAGTCACACCCCCAGCCTTTTTTCACTTTATTTTGTAGGCAGGCTCTCACCCAGCCTTAAATTGTGATCTTCCTACCTATGTCGTCCCTCAAAACCGGGATGACAGTCAGGCAACATCACTCCCAGCCTGATTGAGATGCTAACTTTTGGCCTTGACTGGCCTCAAACTGAGATCCTTCTCTTCTGAGTAATTGGGATTATAGGCATGAGTCACTACACTCAGCCTTATTTTTGCTTTTTGAGACAGAGTTTCACTAACTTTGCCTGAGTTGGTTACAATCTCCTGATCCTCCTGCCTCCACCTCCCAAGTGCTGGGATTACAGGCATGCACCTGGATGTTGAAGCTAATTTTTGAGGCCTCTGGACAGGCTTTAAAAGAGAGAGAAGTTCCCAGATGAGCTCTATCTGGGAGACAGAACCTCAGCGCAATCTATCCTCTTGACAGAGGAGGCTGCAGAGGCTCAGGGAGGCCAAGGTATTTTTTCAGTCTCACGTGATGAGTAGCTGAACCAGGCTGAGAATGGAGAGTGTTTTTGGCCAAAGCCCTAGCAATGGTGAGGCTTGCCATGGGGAGAAAGCAGTGAGCTGTGTCATTGTCGGAGCCCCACTCCAAGCCCTCTCTCATATGAGCCCCTCTGAGGCCTAGATGAGCTCATGGACAGTGAGTGTACAGAGCACAGCTCTGTCCAGATGTGAGGGATTATGGCTGAGCCGTGCAGAAAGCAACCTCAGCCCAGCCTCTTCCCTGGAGGCACTGTGGAGCCAAGCTAGATCTCATCACAAACACATAGGGAAGTGTTTGAGGCCAATGGAGAGGAGCCGATCCATGTTGGTGGAGACATTCACAGCTGGCAGATCCCCACTGGGCCACAGGGTCTTGGCAGAAGCAGCAGGAAGGGTGGAGGGGAAGAGTGGTTTAGGGGCTGATCAAGGGCGGGTGCTGCTCAGGGAAATGATGTCCAAAGGGCCCTGGGCAGAGCCTGCAGAGGGTGTGTGCGTGCACAGACTCACACTAGGACGGACACCCCTTCATAAGCAGCCTGCCCTGGGGGTGAGAACAGCATTTCCTACCTCCAAGTCTTCCTCTCTAGACCAATCCCCCCTTCAGCCGGGACAAGAGTCAAAAGTAGTCCTTCACAGGGGCCACCTCCAGACCTGCTCCTGCCTCTCCATGGCCTTCTCAGCTTGTGGCCCAGAATGGAGCACAGCCCTGCAGGTGGGGTCTCCCATGCTATTCTCTCCCTCTTTCTGAACATTCTTTGTCTATGCATTCAGCACATCATGGCTTCTGCTTTTTGCTAACACCACCATCAGACAACTGGCTTTTATTACGGAAAATTTAAACCGTACACTCAAAAATAGAAGGAATACTTGATTGAACGCACCACCATGTGCTCATCACCGCTTGGGCTTGGCCAGTCTTCTTTGCTCTGTGTACCCACTCGTGCCCCTTCCTTCTCCCCATGCCGGGCTTGGATTATTTTGAAGTAAATGCAAAGCATCGTGGCATTTCTGCAGTTGGCCTTTCAGTATGGACCTCTAAAAGACTCACTTTTATAAAGGTAGCCAACATATTATTATAACATCCTCCTCCCTCCCCGAATTCAACAGTCACACCATTGTCTTTGGAAGAGGGTTTTCTAAGTTCAGTGGAGGAAAATCATGAAAAGGAGACTTTTTAAAAACCAAATTGTTGCTGGGTGCAGGTTGTTCACACCTATAATCCTAGATACTCAGGAGGCAGAGATCAGGAGGATCACGGTTCAAAGAAGCCAGCCTGGGCAAATAGTTCGTGAAACCCTATCTCGAAAAACCCTTCACAAAAATGGGGCTGGTGGAGTAGATCAAGGTATAGGCCCTGAGTTCTAGCCCCAGTACTGCAAAAAATAAATAAATAAAATAAAAAAAAACAAATTGTTATTAATCAGCTTGCCATCACTGTAATGAAACACCTAAGGCAAGCATCTTACAAAGAGAAAAGTTTTATTTTGACTCATGGTTTTGGAAGTCCCGGTCCATGATCTACCAGCCCCATTTCCTTAGGTCACTTGTGATGCATGGTGGGAGCAAATGATAGAACAAAACCACTCACCCCATCAACCAGAAGAAAAGAAGACTGGGGTCCCACAATCCACTGTGTCCCCAGTCATCTAAGGACCTCCCTCTAGGACCCATTTCCTAAAGGTATACATTTCCTCCTAATAGTGCCACTCTGAGGACAGGGCCTTTTGCACATGGGCTCTTTTTAGGGGACACTCAAGATCCAAACCGTAGCAACTGGTGCTTCCAGAACTCCTCACTGCTGCCAGCTCATTCTGTATGATTGTCCTACACAGCCCGCCCCCCCCACCCCCTTGGTCTCTACAACCCCTTTTTAAGTCCTCTCTACTCACATCTCCTGCACTGATAAACTGATCCTCAGAGGGGAAAAAAAATGGCTGAATTTCCACAGTGGAAATACTCTCTCCATGGCTACCATTTTAATGGCTGTTTTTAACAACCCGCTAAAACTTGAGTAACTAGCATTCCTCCCTACATGAATTTTCAGCAGCTGATACCCTTTTTCTTTGGAATAAATAGAGGTGGGAACTCATTTTTGGCCCTCTAAATAAAGTTTGCCCTCACTCATTTTTTGCTACATTCCCTCTCTCCTCCTTCCAGGTGATTCCTCCTCTCCCTTTTGGATTCCAGGGCTTCCCATCTCTTCAGGAAATGTGTTTCTTCAGTTCTGTCTCCTTCCTGTGCTCCAGGCAATAAACATGGCTGTGCAATGCTTAAGAAAACACAACTGACAACAGTACCCACTTCTGTAGGCCTGGTGAGCAGATCCCCCTTCCTTCATGGCCAAGTTTCATGAAAAAGTTTTCCAGAATCCAGGCATCCACCCATGACCTTGCCTTCCCTTTTCATGCCACTGCAATCTACACACAGCTTGTCCTCTGCCACTCAAGACGGAAGTGCTGGGTGGCATGGGGCAGTGACTTTTCCACTGCTCTCTGTCCTAGTTCTTCCTGGTCGAGCTAGCCCTAGGCCATGGTGACCTCCTGGTCCTCTGTAGGATCTGTAAAGCTCTTCGTCTCTCTTCACCTTTGGGACAACAGTCTGCTTCCTGAGGGTCAGCATTCTCCAAGGATCCATGCAACTCTGATGCTGTACCTGGCCCTCACCTGGGATTTGTCCAGGTCAAAGGTTCACAATCTTCCTCGATTGGCTAAAATGGTTTAGGGGATGGGTTAGGGCATGTAATTTGGAGGGCAATTTTTGCCGGCAATGGGGCTGTACAAGAATCTGGAAGAAGAAATAGAAACCCTTTAAACAATGCAAGTCACCTAAGATGGCGACCTGAGAATTTTAAGTAATCTAAGAGGGTGACATATACTTTGATAGAAAAGATCATTTTTCTTCCACTAGGAAGAACCTAGGTTGGGAGGAAGATGAGAATCAAGAGTTGAGTAGGCTGCATTTCCAATCTTGACTTTGGACATGGCATCTCTCTCTTCTGTGTCTGTCTTCCCATGGAAACTGGGGATAACAATGGGTTGCTGGGGTAGTTACAGAGTTAGCACACTTGCCTTGTACGCCACATGGAGTGTGGTGGCACTCGTTAATGCCAGCTCAGACTAACTCGTCTGTGTCAATGCTGCTGCTAAAACATCCCCATTTTCTTCTGTTTCTCCTGATATTATCTGTGCTTATCACTCCTCATCAGCCTCCAAAGACACTTCCTCCAATTCATTCTCTGTATTTAAATATTCAAAACACTTCCTTCAAAAAAACGTTGCAGGGCTGGAGGTGTGGCTCAAGTGGTAGAGCTCCTGCCTTGCAAGTGCAAGGCCTTGAGTTCAAACCCCAGTACCACCACCAAAAAAAAAAACACGTTGCAATTGCATATCAAGGCCTTGGGATAAAGGTCTACCCTTTGGCTTTAGTTCTAGGATGGATCTCCCCAGTCTCCCATACACCTGGTACTTTCCAGTCACTGTAAACCCCTGAAGGGTTGGTCCAAGGAGCCTGGTCACTTTATGCCTCTCTTCACCTTTTTGAGTATGCTGCTCTCCCTGGGCAAAATCTCTCCCAATCCAGGCACTGCCTTCTTGACAAAGGCCACCTTGGTCTGGAGGTGATTGTGGCCACAGAGACAGGGGAATGGCTAGGGTGGTCATAGTTACTGGGTGTCACCTAAGCATCCTCTGCTCACCTGTGTGGCTGTTTTCAGGACCTACTTCATTTAAGCCCAGTGTTTTACAGGACTCTCCTGTGTCACAGGACACCCAAGGGCCCCACAGTGACAGGACTTGTTTTCCCACAGCTCCTGAGCAGCCCCTCAGCCCCTCCCAAGGAGAACCAGCTTGGAGCACAGGCTGTGACAGGCTCGTGGCTATACAAGGCCGGTTAGACATCATGGAAGAGGTAATAAGGGGGTGTATGGATGCAGGGGAGGGGGGAAGAGGACATGCAGCTTTAGGACACCTGTCAGTCTAATGTGCAGACACAGCCTTGTTTTGGAATGTCAGGAAATCCAGGTGTCCTGTCCTCTGGCCACTGCTTCAAACATCTAGCCTAACTGGGTTGTTCAGCTGATTAGCTCCTTACACCCTCTGCCTCCCCTGGGGCCTTCCTTACACACAGTCTGACGTCTCCCCATACTGAGGAAAGGTGGAGGTGTGTAGGAAAGTTCTATCTTCTTAGTCACGAACCCTTAATTGAAATTTAGCATTCTTGTTCATACTAAACAGTACAGTGACTTTGCCCTCAACACAAATCCAGATTTTACCCCATTATAGTTACAAATATCTCAGCATGTCATTTATACTATGTCAGAGTGGCAGTAATTAGATCATGTTATTCAGTGAATTAATAAATACATCTATTGTATCAAATTTTTAACACTCAACACTTAAAGATAGTTGGTGCCCTTGTTGATCATATTTAATTTTTTTTGCACTTAAAGCATTTTTCTGTGAAGACGTCTGTGGGTTTCATCAGACCACCAACAGGGTCTATGGCACAAAACCACTCTTAACGTCCCCTATGAAAATTTCCAAATTCCAAACCTGTTATTTGGCAGAGATGCCACCAGGGGGCAGGGCAGCAAAAGAAATGTGTAGGACCTGGATCCTACAGCACCCAGTTCTCTCCTCACTGCACTCCACTGGATGGAGTGCCCACAAAGCACTCATAGGATGGGGTCCACAAAGCAGAAGTTGGCTGTGTTCATGTATCCCCCCTTCCTCCCAGATGGTGGAAAAGACAGTGGAACACCTGGAGGTGGAAGTCAAAGGCCTACTGGGCCTGCTGGAGGAACTGGCCTGGAATCTGCCCCCAGGGCCCTTCAGCCCTGCCCCTGACCTTCCTGGAGATGGTAAGCAGCTCAGTCAGCAGAGAGGAGACCCTGGGCCTCTATTACCTGGGACACAAGTGTACCCTGCACATGCAGGGGGCCACCCTGTGCATCCAAGGGACCAAGTGGGCAGATCCGCCCACCTTGCACACACAGGGCAGCGGTAGCAGCTGCACCACCCTGAGAAGCCACTGTCTTCCTCCTCCATCCTCTTTCAATCTCCCTTCTGAGGGTTCACTGCTGTTCCAGCCCCCTTGCCCTGGGCATCCCCCTGATGGGCAGTGGCACAGTTATCACCTGCTCCCTTCTTGAGCCCTGGGTTCCCTGACAGAGGACTGGAAGCATTGGGGAGGAAGCTGCTGGGCACCAAGAGGATGAGGGGACCCTTCTGCGCCCCCTGCTGCTCACTGAGGGGCACACCTCTCTTTCAGATCACTTCTGACGGCCAGAGCCCAGGAACTGGATGTAATGCACCTGCGGACTGCACCCCTCTAGGAACCAAGCCATCTCTTCTCACCCTCCTTCCCCTCCTTTGTGTGAAATAAAAGCTACTACTTTGGTCCCATGTCTGGTGATAGTGACATCTATAACCACAGCCCCTTCTCCTACCCCATCCCCTAAGGCCTGCATCCCACTCTAGGATCAGACCTAGGGCCCCCTGTCAGGCTGTGCTTCAGCCCTTGTTATTTATTAGAGACGAGACAGGGCAGGGTTTGGTCCAAGAGGCGAGGTACCTGAGACCAGGACCACAGTGGGACACAGCACAAGGCTCTTTAAATTAGTCTTGCTACTCAAACCGTGGCCACAAAAGAACAGAGCTCCACGAGAAATCTTGTCAGAAAAGCAGGATCTTGGGTCCCACCCAGACATCCTGAATCAGAATCTGCTATTAGCGAGGTCAGCCAGGCAACTTGTGTGCCCATCAAAAAGCTCCCCATCCTTGTGCTGGGGACAGACCCACTCCGCCATTGAGTCTCTTTAAAATTGCTTGAGGTAAAATTCATACACCATAACGACCATTTCTAACCTGTATGAATTTGGTGTTTCAGGACATTGACCACTGTCTAATTCCAGGCCTTTCATCACCCCAGACGGAACCCTGGCTCTAGTAAGTGGTTGCTTCCCATTCCCATTTCCACCAGCTCCCCGGAAACCACCAATCTTTGTGGCTCTATGGACTCACCTATTCTGGATACTTTGTATAAATGCAAAAAAGTGTAGATATGTAATTTATACAAAGTAAACGGTCTTTTGTGTCTGAGCACATCTTAAAGATCCATCCATGTTACAGCGCGTGTCAGCACTTCACTTGTCTTTGATTGAGAAGTGCTCTATTGTGTGGATAGACCATTTTGTTCATCCATCAGTTAGTGGATGTTTGGATTGTTTGCACATTTGGGCTACTATGAATAATGCTGTTAAGGACATTCATTTATGAGTTTTTGTGAGGCTCTATGTTTTTGCTCCTCTAGTATATGCCTAGGAATAACGTTGCTGAATCCAGTGGTAGCTCTGTTTAACCTTTTGAAAAACCATCAAACTGTTTTGCACGGCAGCTGTTCCATTTCACATTAACACTGGCAATGTTAGGTTGTGGAGTTTTCACATGCCCTATCAGAAATTTTTCATTTTCTATTTTTATTTTCTTGGTTTATCATTAAAATGGGTCTTTTCAAATCGAGATGAGGGGTTTTCCTTTTCATTTTATTAATAACATGTATCATTTTGATTTTCATTATTCTAATAACCCTTACATTCCTGGGACAAACCTCAGTTCATCCTGATGAATAATCCTTATTTTGCTCAGGATTTTTGCACCCATATTGTGAGGATATTGCTCTGTAGTTTTCTTATGATGTCTGTATGACTTTGGTATCAGGGTAATACTTACCTCAAAGAATGACTACATTTATTTGGAAGAGTGAGGATTGGTTTAACTTTTCTTTAACCATTTGATAGAACTCACCACCTGCCTCTAGGCTTTGCTTTGCTGGAAGTTCTATGATCTAGAGTTTCTATTTCTTCCTGAATCAGTTTTGGTAATTCACATATTTCTACAAACTTATCCATTTTCTCTAGATGTCCAATTTGTTGGCTTACAATTTTTCTTATTTTCTTATCCTTCCTGTTGTTTCTATAAAGCTAGCAATGTCCCCGCTTTCATTCCTGACTTAGTAATTGAGCTCGCTCTCCCTTCCCCTCCACCTCTTTCCTTCTCTGCCTAGCTGAAGGTTTGTTAATTTGGTTCATATTTCTTGGTACCGGGGTTTGAACTCAAGGCCTTGTGCTTGCTAGGCAGGTATCTACCACTTGAGCCACTTCTCAAGCCCATGTTTTATATTTTTACAGAAACTTTTTTTGTTTAACTGGTTTTAATGCTTTTCTATTTCCCATTTCATTTAACCTACCCTCTAAATCATTTATTTCCTTCAGGCTGGTTGGGGTTGAGTTTGCACTTTGTTTTCTAAGTCCTTAAAGTGGAAATTTGGTTAGGGATTTCCATCTCTTTTTTAATATAGGAATTTACAGCTGTAAGTTTTCCTCTGTACACTGTTTTCACTGCATCTCATGAATTTTGGTGTACTGTGCTTCCATTTTCATTAATCTCAAAGTATTTCCTAATCACCCTTGTGATTTCTTCTTCGGCTCTTTTTTAAAAAAAAGTTTTAACTTCCACATATTCATAAAATTTCCAGATTTTCCTGTTTTTGTTATCTAATTTCATTCCATTGTGGGCAAACTTTAAATTTTTAGTTTATGTTCTATGTAGAGAATTTGTTGGCTGGGATGTTCTACATATGCCTGTTAGATCTAGTTTGTGTTCACAGTTTCCTTCATCTCTTTGGGCTTTACTTACAACTGATTTAAGTCTTTATCTGGTAAGTCCAATGTCTGGGTTGTTCTCTTTTTCCTGTGTATGAGCCATATTTTGGTTTTTGTACATCTCATCATTTTTGTTGAAAACTAGACATTCTGAATACTATAGTATGGCAACTCAGGAAATCAAATTCTTCTGTCCTCAGTTTATTGATGCTCTTTGTTGTAGCTTAGTGAATTTTCTAAACTTTTTTCTTTTGGGGGCAGTACTAGGGTTTGAACTCAGGGCCTCATGCTTGTTGGGCAAGTACTCTACCACTTGAATCACACCCTAGCCTTCTAAATTTTTTTTTTTCTTGGCAGTACTGGAGTTTGAACTCAGGGCTTCACACTTGCTAGGCAGGCACTCTACTACTTGAGCCACACCTCCAGCCCATAAACTAATTTTTTAAGTATGGGTTATTTGTCAAGTGTGGCCACTTGGTAGCTTGATTAACAGATGTCTCTAAATATCTGGGGGGGAGAAAAAAAAAAACAAGTTTGCAAATGTGTCCTGTGTTTTGGGGCACACCTTCACACAGGCAGTTTGTAACTCTATCTCCGCCTTCACTTCCTCCTTGTGCAGAACATAAAGATCAGCCACAGGTGAGCACTCTTAAGACCGTCTCAAGCGTTTTCTAAACATGCACCCAGACCTGAGCAGGTGTGTGGCCTTTAGACTCCCATGTGGGAGTTCTTCAAAGCCTTTTCCCTAAAACCCGTCATTCTGCGGACTCCCTTTCACGCTTTTCAATTTGCCTCCTCTTTCAACCTACCTTTCCCCTAGGCATCATGCTAATACATTGGACTTGAAATGCCCCTCACCCCATCTCCCAGTTGCCACATTTACCTTGGCAGAGTCCTAAGTTAACACCAAACAAAAGTTAAGTTATTTGAACTAGTCTTTTAGGGCACAACCTAACAGGTTAAAATAATCATAAACTCTTCAAGATAAGGTCTGTCTTGCTGCCTCCAGCATTAGGGAACTATACAGGAAATGTGGAATATTGTTTTTGATGCTTCTGCTTTCCTGGAGAATGGAAGATAGCACCAGGATGGGCTAAGCTCATAATGAATTCAGCTCATTCTCCCTTAAGCCTCCACTTTGTTGCAATAAACTCAAATCTGAGTCCACTCAAGTTGATTCTTACCATTTTTGCCAGCTTTATTTGCTGCTTTTATAGCACAGACTTTTGGAGGTACCTACCTACCTCACCATTTTTTGGGGGGGGGGCACATTAATGTTTAAGAAGCTCTGATCTAGTCTAAGGCCTAAAGAGGGGAAGTGACTTCTCCAGGGTCACAGGCAAGGTCAACAGCTGAGCTGACATCAGCAAGGGAGGCTTGATTCCCCACCCAGAGCTCTTTCTGCTTCAGGACGAATGCCAGTAATAGGCCAGGGGGAAGCTTTTCAAGGAGCCCTGGTAGAACTGGGAGGCTTGAAAGACTCCTTCAGAAAGGAGAACCTGTATGGGGCCAGGAAGAAGACTAATGATGTCCCTGCCCTTAGAGCTTTCAGGTTTGACGGGATGAAAATGTAAGCCTCTATCTGCCAGTGGAAATGTACTTAGTTTGATTTCTGTTTCCAGGTCACACTCAAATCAGTCAGGATGAAAAGACCTGACAGCAGATATAAGGACTCACATCCTAGACCAGAATCCTAACTCCCTGCTGAGCTCAACACAGGATGGACATGGTGTGGCCTACAAGGTGTTGCTTTGACCAGGGGCACCTGGCAAAGGTCCATCTTCCAGGGTCCTCTTCCCAGAGCCGCAAGTGCTGTGCCTCATCTTCCCTAAGCTGACTGAATTCTGAGCACACCTGCCACCTGCATGGACACCTCTGGTCTCCGGGAGTCCCTGCCCTGGCTCTTCAGTATTTAGATCAGCATCTGATTGCAGGTTACAGATGCAGTTTCCTCTCAGGATTTGAGGGTTGGGCTCTGTGCCTGCAGTTTAGCAAGCTCCCCAGATGATCCTGCTGCACCCTAGGGTCTGAGAAGCCCATCAACACCATGCCCACTCACAGGGCGAGCACCTCTCCAAGGCTCCTTTCTTACATTTGGCACCTGAGACAAGTACCTCACTTTCCTCACCCTCGTCCTGGTCCTGCCCCTAATTTACAGTGTTCTTTTCAATGCCCCCTGCTGAAAATTCAGTGAGATCAGATGTGTAACTGACTGGTCTGGACTAACATCTCCAGGAGACAGGAAATGACTCACAGTAGCCCTCTCAGAAAGATGACCTGTATAGTTGCATGTCTTCCTCCCTGTCTTTTGTTCTGAGAATAACAACATTGACTACAATCTCCAAGTAACCTTAGAAGGCAGTAGGTACCCTTTGCCACTGGATGGATAAAGTTCACACATCTTCCAGCTCATACTTACCATGGGCTGGGTTCCCCAGATATGTCCAAGAGGGCAGCCAGAAAGAGAGGGAAGGAGACCCAATACCAGAGAGAACACAGGTAGCCCAGGGGTCTCAAACTCAAAGGCCTACAGGAACCAAGACGTAATATTGGCATGGAGGAGTACAATAGAGAGTGGTGGGGCCTGTGGCAAATGGAGAATGCATACTTGAAGGGGGCAGTTGCAACTGGCTCTAGCTTTGCAGGAACAGAAGCCCTGTTCTTGGTTTTTTTCTTTTTTAGGCACTAGGGATTGAACTCAGGGCCCAGAACTTGTTAGACAAGTGCTCACTTGTCTAACACTTGAGCCATGTCTCCAAATGAAAGGTTTTGATTGTTATGAAATCTAGTTTTTCTTTTTTTTTTTGGCAGTTCTGGGGTTTGAACTCAGGGCCTTAAGCTTGCAAGACAGGTAGTTTACCACTTGAGCCACATTTCCAGCCCTGATTTTTAAAAATACAAAATATCCCCAATGTTTAAATATTGCTAACAAATTCAATTTGTTTTTTTTTTTTTTTTTTTTCAAACTCATGATCCTCCTACCTCAGCATCCCAGGTGCTGGAATTATACACTACACCACCAAGCCCACCTTTAAATTTCTAAAAAACACTATGGGGACCAAAGTAAATGCATCTGTAAGTTCAATATAGTCTTCTGGACACCAGGCTGAGAGCTCTGGTGTAGACACAGGGCAAAATAATGTCATAGGCCATTCAGCCACATTGGAACACACTAGCTCTAAGCCATCACATCTCAGAAAGCCTCCAGGATCTGAGTTCAGAGATGCTGTACCATGCCCAGTGGTCTATACTAGTGGGCAGGTCTCAACTGGCACTGGTGGGTAAGGACCTGCCCTAGAGGAGGGCTTCTTGGAAGACCAGCAGGGGCAGGGCCTCATCTTGGGCTAGACAGCTCCAGCTGAAGAAGCTCAAGGCATGGACACTGAGACAGGGCTGACATGGTGACTAGGACCTGCCCTCCAACCCTAGTGCTCACACTAGCCTTTGGCTCAAGATGGCAGGTTCAGGCAGACAAGGCTAGTGACCAGTTCATGGCTGCTCCATGCCCCGACGTCATCCTTGCTCTTACCATTTCAGGGCTGTGAAGAATCAGGCAATGTCCCCAAGCAGATGTATTCTGCAGAGGTTACTACTTGGGGTTTCTCTCAGAACCCAGCAGACTTGAATGACCTTAGTCTTGCTGGACTCTCCCTCTCCTTTCTAAGCTTTCTAACACAGGAGGGAGGTCAGAAAGAAGTGAATAGAGACCTCTTGCCAAGAAGCCACACTCTATGGACATGACAATTTCTAAAAACTGTCCCTGTTAAGACTACCCTCTCCTAACACTAACTACTAAGAGACAAAGTGCCCAAGGGGTAAGAGCCAGGAGCACCCTTCAGACAAGAGGTTCCCTGAGAGAAGGCACTGGGCTGTGTCCCTCTCTGGGTTGTCCCTGTCCTGCTCGCTCGCTTCCCTCCAAGAGGCCACCCCAGGAACCATGTACACAGTCTTCTACCCTTTTCTAGGACCTAGGTGACAAGCTACATCCTTCCTACCTCATGGCAGGGGACTTGACTGTGCCTCCACCCCACCAGAATCCCTATGCCTCATCCGTGCCAGGGCCCCATGTGGATTTCAGAAGACTCCTTCTCATACCCTCATAACCCAGTCCCTGCAAATTAGCTTATGCTCAGGATTTACCAGCATAAATTTCAACTTCAAGTTCTATACATTTTCATTGGCTAATAAGGTCGGAACCTGTGAATCATGAGGCAGAAAACAAGCTGGCACCAGACAGACACTTCCAGAACATTCAAAAGCTGGCTGACTTTAATTTGGAAACAGCTTTTGGCTACAGACATTCAGGTTTAAGGCATATTCCAAATTGCAAGGAGCCCTGTTATTGGCAGAGAACAGGCTTTGTTCTCGTGGTTTTGCGTGGAAGATGGAACAAATGACTTCCTGGCCTTTTTTTTTTTTTTTTCTAAAAAGGAGTAAGTTTGGCAAAAACAAAGCTCATGACACATTCTTACCAGATACAACAACCCTTACAGACCCTCCCTTTTATACTATGTGAGAATGGGGTGCTCCACCTACCCCACTGCTCTCACTAGAAATGTGCATGTAGTAAACAGACTTGTGTGCATCTGTCTGGCAAAGACAAGTTAAAAATGGAAAATACGCCTTCAAATAAAAACACAAAATTATATGACTAAAATGAAGCTAAGAGTCTCAGCCACAAGCAACGAGGAATGATCGCACGTTTGAGGAAATAAAACATCTACATAAAACAGCAAGAGGCTGTGAGGGACAGGGAGGAGAAGGCATCCTGAGAGCTGTAGGCCCACCTAGGCACTCGCATGACACACAGATCAAGAAGGACACACAGATCAGGAGGGGAGGGAGGACAGAGAGACAGAAGGTGCACCTCGGGCTATTGTGTGGATTGTGAGAAAATGACAAGACACTCTTTGGGCCTTTCTCTGGCATTGCCATTGCTGGCAGGGGGCAGAAGTGAGCCACTGTCACTGCTCAGTCATTGCCACCACAGATCTTCAGCAGAATCTTCCGGTAGTCCCCTGAAGTGTCTCCCTAGTCACAGAAACAAGGGTATCAGTTAAGGGAGGCAAGGCCATTTCCAGCCTCCTGGATTTTCCTGTCTCAAGCCATGCTCACTCCAGTTATAAGGTCAAATAAATAACCACAAGCTTTAAAATCAGCCTAGAGACCCAGGACTGACCAATATTATTCTTTACTAGTGCATTTAACTTGCACCAAACTGGGGTTCTATCATAATGCATCACTGTCCTGCCCTGGACATGACCTGTCATGACCATCCATGGAGGACACTTGTTATTCAGGCCTCCCAGTTCCCACGGATCAGCCCTCTAACACCAGCTCACTCCTTCCAAGAGCCCAGGTCAGGCTTAGCCAACTTTTAATCATTTCCTACCACCCTAAGCCCTTGGAGGGCGATGTCTGTGGCTCTTTGTAGACATCACAGCCTGGCGCACAGAGGACACTGCCAGCAATGACTAACTCTCTGCTCTTCACAGCAGCATTTTTATAGCATAGAAACAAGAGATTAGCTTCTTTTAAAGATAAGCCCAACACCACCAAGTGCTAATGAGTTTGAAATCAGAACTTGGTCCTGGTGACTTCAATTTCAAGGTTCAGGCCTGTTTGGGCAGCATTCTCAAACCTCCCAATCACACATAGGGTTAGCAAGTAGAAAAGCAGCATCAGACCTCTAGGGTGTCACCCAAGGGTCCTCACTCCGAGCTACCTTACTATGTGGTCTTCACTGTAAAGCTAGTGAAAGAAGCTAGGGCCAGAGCCAACCTCCACGGAGCCTGTGGGACAAGAGCTCCTGCTGAGAGATCACAGATCCATAGAGTAGCCAGGGCTCTGAAGGTCAGGGCCAAAGCAGGGAAGGCATGAGGTTTTTCTGTGCCATAGATGGACACTCCTATGCAGTTACTGAGCAGTGGGGTCCTCAAGGATTGGAGTGCAGGGTCAAGGTCTGCCCCACCTTCACAAGTTAACAGTTTGTTTGAGGGCAATTGGATGAACAGTGGAAGTCGAAGACTACAAAGCCTGTGGTCCCTCAGCAAGATGCCCACATGTGCCCAGAGGCCAAACACATGGCTGCTCCAAAACTGGGGAGGGGAAGGGATAGGGGAGTAGCCAGCAAGTACACAGGTGGGACTCCAAGAGCAGCTCAGTCAGCCCCAGGGATTCCATACCGTGATGTCATGGTACAGCGATTTGCCATACATCCGTTTATATTCTGCTCTGATGTCCAGGAGATCAATCTCACTGCGAGACACCATGATGCGAATCAGGGTCCGGTCCTTAGTTCCTGCTCCCTACAGACAGTCCACCCAAGAATATGAGCACCAGACTTCCCACCCTCTTGTTCTTCCCCCTCCCTCCTCCAACCCAGGTCCTCAGACCTTTTGACTGAGGTGTGTCCCCCACCCCATCCCTTCATACTCAACCCATGGTCTCAGCCACAGGTGGGGCTAAGACATCCCTGACCTGGGCCTCTGCACCAGGAGTTACATACCCTCATGGCTTTGTTGAGCCTTTCAGCAAAGAAGGCTGGGGTATTCTTGAGGCATTTCACTAGGAAAGACAAACACAGCATAACTAGGTCTGCAGAAAATTCAGCCCAGGAGGGCATGGAAGACACCAGCGTCCTCCTAGGAGGCCCCAGATATCAAATCCATCACTGCACACATCTTTCTCCTCCCCTCCTCCTCCTCCTCTAGGCTCAGCCCATAATCATGGTCCCAACATGCAGAGCCTGGTACTAATCAAACCTCTTTCCTAGCAACTACCGTGGTAAAAAGGAGCAAGACCCACAGGAGCCACAGTTTAATGATCCAGGAAAGAATTATGAGGGGGGAAAAGGAAACTGTATTGCTGCTCAGGCAGGAGGGGCCAACTGGAGACCCTGTGATGCTCACTGAGGAAGAGAAGATGAGGATGATTTCGTGCCAGTCTAGAGTTCTCAGACCACAGCACCCAGTGTGTGATTGTGTGTGTGTGTGTGGTGAGGGGAGGGCGGGAGGAAGAGAACATGCATGGAAATGGGATGTACTAATGTACTATCTGTTTCATCCACCAAGCTCCAAGAAAACACAGTGAAAGAAACAGGCAAACTGATTTTCCCAGATGCAAAGGGAGGTGCCCAGGGCTGCAGAGTGAGGAACCCACTCTGTATGGGGCAGGTGCCTGTAGCCCAGCAGGCCCCACTTTAGAGGGCACAGCACTGCAAGAGGAACACCTCCATCCTGGGAGCTCAGCCAGCTTTCCCTGGAATGGGCCTGTTTTGCTGTTGCAAGTAAAAACCTTTCCACATGTTTCTATCACAAACATCTGACAACTGCCTGCAGGGATGTATTTTTAGAGGAATCTTGGCAGGACATGAGTCACCTTCCAACAGGAGAGCAGATGAATGCTCTCCCACTAATGCCCATACTGCAGCAACGTTCCCCAGAGCAGCGCTGCAAATATAAACAAGACACCTCCGTCCAAGACAGGTGGCATTCAATGACGCAGTGATTGGGAAGCAGCATGACTTTCCACCATTCGGACACTCTGGATCCTGTGGTTGCCTTACTCTCTCAGCCAGAGGACACCATGACAATTTGCAAGATACATGGTCTCAAGGAGGCAGGTGACCAAGCAAGGCAAGCCGACACCTACCCACAGCCAGCATGCCCCGCTCCAGGTCTCCGGACATCTCCCGGCATATGCTATTCTCGATGTCTCGACCTGTCATCCTCTGATACTCGTTGAAAACTAGTGGGAAGACAGAAGGGAAAGGTCACAGACTGAACTGCATTCCCCTAAAATTCACATGTTGAAATCCCAAGTACCTCAGAATATAACTGTATTTGGAGGTCAAGCCTTTAAGGGGTTGCTATATTAAAACAAGGCTGTTAGGTTGGGCCCTAAGCCTGTCTAACTGATGCCCTTCCAAGAAGAGATGAGGACACAGGAAGATCAGGGCTGTGGATATACAAAGACAGTTCCCGACTTATGATGGTTCTGCTTACAATTTTCAGATTTACACAGCATACGCAGACAACCATTCTGTTTTTTCACTTTCAGTAATCACTAAATTATGTGAGACATTCAACACTGTTATACACTAGGCTCTGTGTCGGATGACTTAGCCCCACTGTAGACTAATCTAACTGTTCTGAATATATTTATCAGACAGGTTTGGTTGAATGATTGATTGATCAATCTATCTATCTATCTACGACTGGGGTTTGAACTCAGGGCTCCACACTCACTAAGCAGGTGCTCTACCGCTTGAGTCACATCTCCAGTCCATTTTGCTCTGATTATTTTGGAGATGAGTTCTCTCAAACTATTTTCCTGGACTGGTCTCAAAACCTCAATCCTCCTGATCTCAGCCTCTCAAGTTGCCAGGATTACAGGCATGAGCCATCAGCATCCAGCTAGACAGGCTGGTCTTATCAAATTATGAATGATTTTCAGTAAGTTAGATTATTACATGTATTTCCTTACTTCTCCCACCCGCCCCAAAAGTGGGCTGGTCCCCAACTCCTGGGCTCAACTGATCCTCCAGTCTCAGTAGCTAGAACTATAGCGTGTGTACTATGCCCAGCTTTAAATGCATTTTTGACTTGAGACACTTTCAACTTGTGATGGGTTTATCAGGATGCAACCCTATCATAAGTTGAGGAGCATCTGTGCAGGAAAAGACTACATGAGGACACAGTGACAAGGAGGCTGCCCACAGCCAGGAGGAGAGGCTTCCCTCAGTAGAACCAACCCTGCTAGCACCTTAGACTCCCAGTCTCCAGAACTGTAGCAAACTACATATGTGTTCAAGCTATTCAGTCTGCCTTAGTATTTTGTTAAGGCAGCAGAGCCAACTGAGAGGACACACATGTGTGAGGAGTCTTGCCTTACTCACTCTCTTCTGGATCGCTCCATTGATATACCTGGTCAGCTCAACAGATGGACAGTCTCCCTGTCACAGTCCTAATGCTCCTTGATCAAGTGGTCCCCTTACCAAGACATCCCTCACTGATCTGCTCACTCAAATCACACCTTAACCCACTCCACACCAGCACAAATGTTCCCCTCCTCAAATCCCCCACACTTCTAGTCCACACCATCCCTCCTGTTACTCAGTGCAGCAGTCTCGTCTTGCCGAACCTGACTGTGAGCCAAGGCCAGCTAGTACAGTCAGCATTGCATTTTGCTCCTCCACCCACACCCCCGAGACCCGTGTATAACCCAGAAGCAGCTGAGCCCCAGGGAAGGGCCTGCTGGTTCCTAAAGAGGTGGGACGCCCTGCAAACCCAGAGCCTGAGTCTAATGTTGACCTTGGATGCAAATCTCTCCTTCCCCAGCCTCATTTTCTATCAGCCAATTCCCAAACTATCGTCATCTGCATATCAAAGCCATGGTTTCTGCTGTATCTATATCTGTTTCATTTAGTATTTTCTTCAAATGTGCTGCTCTTTTCTCCCTAACTTGTGAAACCATGGGCCTGACGTGCTACTTAGGTACTTTATATTCATCAAAATTAGTAAAGCCAAAGATGAAACTGTTTACCTGCACTCCACTATATTATAGTGAGGTTAAAAATGTGTCCTGGGGCTAAGGAACCTAGAATCAAACCTAAGCTCAGCCCCATTTATATCCAACTTCCCCGACCAAGCCGGGCCTGCTTCTCCAGAGATGGAAGAACACACGCCCACAGGTCAAACGCTGTGTCAGGAGCCTTAGGGTACGAACAGCCCCTCCACTCTCCTCTATGCTCAATCCTCACCTGCCTACCCACAGGGCCTTCTGACATGGCTGGCCTCCAGCTGCCTTTCCCACTTCACCAGCTGTTCCTTCTTAAGACTTCTGCAAGAGCCCAGGGCTCTGTCCTCACATCACTGGTCCCTCTCCAGTCCCCCACCAAAGGAACCGCTCCCAGACTCAGCCTCAAACACTGAAGACCACTCTCAAACTTCCATCTCTAACCCAAACCTCTCCTGACCCCCCCAGCTCATAGGACCCAACTGCCTTCCCAGCTTCTCCATGCCAATAGCTCCAGAATTCAATTCCAGGGTCCATTCCTCCTGATGCCTGCTCCATCCACAGCTCCCAGGCTCAGTGGAGGCTCATTCTATCTTCCACTCACTCAGCAGAGAAAAACCGTCCTCTTTCTCCCATGCTCTCATGCATGTTGTTGTCAGCTCAACAACAAGCAGGCTGGATTCTGACTCCTTCTCAACACCTGCCCCAACTCCTAGTCTAGGCCACCCATTTCTTCCAGGGATCATTGTGGCCATTGTGGCAGGCTTCTAACTGGTTCCCCTGCTCTGCTATGGACCCCTTCAACCTGCTCTCAATATGACCTGGGCCAGGTTATCTAAGAAAGCTGGGCAGTATTTGGACCACAGGCCCCATGGGAAAAAATACACTCTGTTCTCTAATGAACTTGAAAATCTCCTCCATTCAGAGCCTTCCTATAGCTTCTGGTCTTACTCAGTATTAACACTGAACTCCAAGCATTGTTAACAGGGCCCTCTACCACCTGACCTCATACCACCTGCTCTCGTCACACAGAGCCCTTTCACTGTTTCTCAGCCATACCAGAAGCCCCCTACACAGGGCCTTCAGGTTTTTCAGTCAAATGGCATTACACCACTGAGGACTGCCCCAGACCTTTGCCCCGAGCTCTACTCCATCATTCTCTATCCCGGTTTCTAGCTCTGGGCTCTCCCAACTCTACTACTGCACATTCCAGCCCACAGAGATCCAACAAAATGGCACTGAGCCCATTCAATAAGCCCATTCCCTTGCTGCTTCCTTTACTCTCTCTCTCTCTCTTTGATTCTCTCTAGAATCAAAGCTTGATGGAACTGGGGACACCCTGGGATGGTATCTTTTAACTCACCACCAGGGGGCTCTTAGGACAAAGGGATTGTCCCACACAGAGAACACCAGCCAAGCGTTCTGCCAGGGTTGTCTCCCCAGTGTTCCATCTGCCCTCATCCTGCTCATCCCTGGGGGCCCAAGGCTGCCTTACCTGCCACCAAGTGGGCCCGGCTCCGTGAGCAAAGAATTGCATTGAACTTGGACTCATCTGTTCCCAGGCGGTTTTCCCCAGCTGCATATAGCTCCTGCACAGGGAGAAGGACACACATGTACCATGGGTCTCACCCCAGGCCCAAGTCACCTAGGAACACTGGGCAGGGTCTGGCCTTACAGGACCAGAGGTGAAGAAATGGGGTAGCACACTAGCAATGGGAACTAAGTTTGCTGAGCCTTGCTGTATTCCATTCCCTCCCTGCGCTGCACAGAAGATTCCAAGTGAGGTTGGGGGACTAAGACCAGGACAACCAAGGCTGACTAGGTCAAAGCATACAAAGAACAGCCTTAACCTGACTAAGAGAGCAGAACTGCACAGACAGAGGGGAGGGCTAGGCTCAAGTCCTAGCTCTGCAGAAACTTGTAACATGACTCCAGGCAGGCCTCTGAGTCTCAGTCTCATCTCTAAAATGCAAAAGTTGGATTTGATTTGGGGTTGCAAACTTGAAAGCCCAAGGGGACCAACTGGATAGAAACCAACCTATATCCAACTGAGGGAACAGGTCAGTGGCAAGGCTGAGTGGGTCACAGCCACCCACTCAGGGAGGCTCTTCTCAGCAGCATTTGAATACTGCAACATACGAGTGCAAAACACAGCTGCCAGACCCACGAATCAGAAGACTGGTTTCCAGATCTCTGCAAGAAATTTCCTAATCTTGAAAAGCAGTTTCCCAATAAATACCACAACACTGATAGTTCAGTTATGGGTGTGGAACTTCTCCATGTTTCTTTACATGTAACATTATGTTTGCAAAGTGGCAGAATTTGCATGTGCCTGTTAAACTTTTTAAGGTTTGAGTCCAAAATATTTGCCCATTTACAACTTGCTCCAGAAAGTTTCTAAAGTACCTCAAAGCCACAGGCAGCAGTCCCTGGATCTAAAGGCACCAGTACCCAAGAGCAGACACCCAAGGGCTCAGAGATCCCACAGGTCCAGGTAAGGCTGCTCAGGAGCAGAAGAGGAGAGTTCAAAACCTTGGCCTTCAATGTAGGGCTTAGAAGTCTGGTGAGCTCTACTCCACCAAGTAGCCAGGCACTAAGCCAGGACACCACAGTCTGAATTCACCAGTGCAATGCAAGCGTCCTTAGAGGAGAGTTCAGATGCTTGGGCTTTTATCCTTTTGTCTTTAACTCACAAGGGAACAAGGGCAGAATTCTAAGGTGCACAACTATGGTGACAGCTGATTTCTAAGCTTACAAACTCAAAAGCTTAAAGGCAAGTAACAATTCTGCCCTCTGAACAATGGCATATGCATCCAAACACAGGGAAAGTGCCAAGTTCCGTGGAGTCCCATACCCATAGCTGTGGTCCATCAACTGTTGCAGTATTTATTGATTCTCTCCTATGTTCCCTCTTACAGGGGGAACAGTCTGGTGGCCTGCTCAAACAGTAGACAAATGGAAGAGCATGTCTGAAAGTTGCAGTACCTGAACCCACTGTATCCATTATTTTCCATCCTATAGCACCTCCCTATGAAGCAAGAAAGCAGGGAACAGTCCTGGTTCAGGAAGCCCAGGAAGAGCGCCTGGTCAGGCCCCCATTCTTACCTGAGCATCTCTCTGGGCGAGGGACATGTCCACATTTGTGCTTTCATCCCGGTTTCCCTGAAATGAAGCAGGGTGGAAGGTGAAGTCTACTCCATGGAGGGACAGCCCCGTCCCTTCCCACTTCTGTCTCCTTTCCTCACTGCTCCAATCCTCTCTCACTTTCTGTCATGGGGAAAGTACCTGAGAGAGAGAGATGAGGAGCCGCTGGAAGTGCCCTGATGTGTCACTTCGAATAGCCTCCTCCAGGGTCTTTTTGAACTCTGAAAAGGAATACAGAATACAGTCAGCAGTAGGTGAAGGCAGGGCAAGCACCTGGGGTCCTGGGTTTAAAGATCAGGTGGTTCATACAACCCTCCAGGGTCATACAAGCCTGTGACCTCCAGACTGACCTGGCCTCTGGTCAGCCTTGGCCCAAACTCCACTCGAGGTTTTCCCTAGCCCTCCCTTACCACAGTCACCTGTCCTGTGTGTAAACGGCAGGCAAGGCTGGACTTTGGTTCAAAGCCCAATGTGTTGGGAGTGTCAGGAAATGGGGTGATAAGAAGGCCAGGGAGGAGAAAGAGGCCCTGGGAGAATGTAGGGCTAAGGCCTAGGGAGCAGAGCCATCTGCAGAAGACAGAGGCCTTGGGAGCTGACGGACCTGCTTTGTAGGCTCTGCTCAGTTCCTGAATATGCTCGTTGTTGCGGGAAGCAAGAATCTCAATCAGGCAGGCTTCATCAGTGCCAGCCCCCTGTAATGGCGGAGAAAACACAAACCTCACACTAGTGACAATGCCCTTACCTATGCCCAGAAAGCACAGCCGAGGCCACAGAGGCCCACAACACAGACACCCCCAATGCCCAACTCTGAGCCTTGTTGAGTCAATACTCCCCAATCCCAGCCCCAGGCAAGCAGCAGATATAGACAGCACGGTGATGAGGAGGAATAGTGTGAGGGGGCATCCCACTGACCAGGAAACAATCAGAGGTGAAGTAACTGCCCAGCCACACTGTGCAGGGTCAGGGTGAGATGTGGATTCAGGTCTGTTTTCTTTCAAGGTCAGCCCGTGAGTGAGATGACAAAAAAGTGGAAAAAATGGGTTAAAAGAAGAGCAAGCAGAATGGACATGTAGGAAAGCTACAGTCCTGAGTGGGCCATAGGGTATCTGCCGATACCTAGGAAAAGACAGCAACAGATGGGACAAAAGGAATGACCATGCCAGGGACAGCAGGAAGGCAGAGGACTGGGTCAGCAGCTCAGCTTTTATATCAGTTTGAATGTTGGCTCTGCAGCTTACTGGTTGTGTTACTTAACCTCTCTGTGCCTTAGGTTCTTTGTCTACAAAATGAGAGTGATCCATCACCTACCCCCTCAGAAGTCATGAGAATTGAGTGAATTAACACTCAATTCTCAGAGAATTTTAACAGTGCCAGTCAGACAGGAAACATGACAACGTGTCAGCTGTTTTCAAGATTACCTCTATCTATTTGCTCTGTCAGATTACTCGGAGTTTATAAAGGGCAAACAAGTTAACACCTTGTCCAGTACTCTCTGAATGTCCTGAAAGAGTACCCACTGTCTCCATGCAGGCTCACAAACGCACAGCTAGTCAGCAAAGCGGGGCCACACCTGTGCTGCTTCCACTCTCTACCACCACCATCTCATGAAGCAGAGATGTGCACTGGGCAGAAGCCCGGGGGCCATTCCCAGCCCAGGCCATCACCCTCCCTGTTGCTTCCAGAGCTCCATGGACTAAAACAGGCAGATGTGTTTCAATGAGTCCTCTCTTGACTCTGGGCCACACACTGAATTCTCTGCCATTTTGTGGAGGTGGATAAAGTCTGTGCCTATCAAGTCTGAGCATGTAGCTCCTTCAGAGTACCTGTTTGATTCACAGAGACCCCCCTTTCTATGGGTGCTCCTGCCCCCCACCCACAGGACACAAAGAGCTGCCATGTGACTGTGGACCAGACAGGTCCCACTCCATGGTCAAAACTGACAAAACTGGGGCAACAGTGAGTTCACACTGGGTCCCAGAATTTGCCTTTTATAGAATTCAGGCTCTTCTGTAAATGGATCTCTGACACAGGGGACACAGACATCCTTTGGGAGCAAACACAGAGTAGGCACAGAAGCACACCAGAGAGCAAAGTGGATGCTCAGAAGCAGAGGAGAGAAACTGCGCCTGGGCCCAGGCCTCCCTGTGCACCAGGTTTGTCTTTTTCCTCACAACTGATTTTCCACCTCCTTTGTCTCAGCAGCTCAAGCTCAAGTGTGTTGCCATTACTTGTTAGTTATGGAGTCCTACCCATTGAAAGCAAACCCACCATGGCCTCTGACCCCTCTTCTCACTGTCACCAGCATCCTCCACAACCCCAGTCCTTTTTTTTTTTGGCTAAGGGCTTCACTCTCGCTAGGCAGGTGCCACCACTGCCTAGGCCCTTGGCCCATTTTGCTTCCGTTATTTTTCAAATAGGGTCTTGCATTTTATGCCTAGGCCAACCAAGACCACAACGCTATTTATGCTTCCTGTGTAGCTGGGATAACATAAGCATGCCAACACACCCAGTTTTTACTGGGGTCTTGCAAACTTTTTACCAGGGCTGACCTCAAACCACAATTCTGATGTCTGCCTTCCAGGCAGCTGGGATTATAGGCATGAACTACTGTGCATGGCTCCCCCCTCTTTTTAGGATGGAGAGAAACTTAGAAGCTCCGAAATGGTGAACTGCGTATTATTTGCCTCTTGGGGAAATTATGGAAGATTCCCTTTCCATAGCATGTGGACTCCAATCCAGTAGCCACACTGAGCAGCAGCTAGTAAATGGGCTGTAACACACCACATGGTCCAAGTTTTCACCTGGGCTTTGCACATGCACACATACACACCTTGATGGCTTCCTTTATTTCATACACATCAAACAGGATGGGCGTCTTCATCAGAGCCAAGACTGTCTTCTCAAAGTTTCCTGACAGTTCTGATTTCAGATCTTTGATCAAATCCTGATTAGATATTTAAACAAATACCTATTTTGAGAATTCACAGAAGGTGACTAAGGAGAACAGCATACCAGATCCAAGGACCAGGAGCATATGCATCAGAGGGTTGGGGAGAAGCCTGACTTCGGGCCCTGCCTCAGACCTACATTGAGAGTCTGCATTGCCACAGGACGCCAGGGACCTGCCTCAGCCTGAAGCTGGAGAAGTGTGGGGTAGAGCACTAGCCTGTTCAACATTTACCCAATTTTTCCTTTCTAAGACTAGAAACCCTGACATTTCAAAATACGCCCCCTAAAGCCTCTTCCTCCGAAGTTCTTATACCAGCTAAACTTTCCAGGATGTCATGAGGAGGCAGGGGAGGGCAAGCTGAGGCCTGGGGGGATGGGAAAGAAATGGTATGCCTATAGTGTTTACAGAGCCAGAGCTACAAATCAGAGGTCTGCAAATTCATCAAGCCTCAGTGCTCTCTGGGATCCTGGGCTGCTCTTTTATAGAGACCCTTCATCTCTAAAAGGAGGCACCAGGAAATGTCCTAATGCAGCTTACTGTCCATCCAGGAGGTCCACACTTCCTAGACCCCAGTGAAAAGCAGGGTGAGTGCTTAGCTCCGGGAGGACAAGGCCTCAGGGTCCTCCCACACCTCACCTTGCCGTAGGCTGTCTTGAAGGACAGGAGGATCTGCTGCCGCTGTTTGTTGGAGCGGCTCCCCAGGCAATCGATGATGGCCTGTTCATCCGTCCCTGAGGAAGGAGAGGCCAGGCTGCAGGTCACAGGGCTGCTCTGCAGCTATGGGTTCTCCTGGCCTGAGGCCTCCAATTCTCCTGGGTGCCCCAAACACACTCTCATACCCACCCCCTCTTCCATCACCAGTGGGGCCAGCTTTGCCTCGCCTCAAGCCCCCAGCCCACAGAGCAACTGCCAAACTGCCCAGGAAATGTGCATGTGAGGGGGGTTTAGGGGAGGAGTTTGAGCCACTCAGGTCTGCTTACCGAAGCCCTTCATGGCCTTCCGCAGGACTTCAGCATCTCGCAAGGGATCAAAGCCAGGAGCGTCTGTGATAGTGCCTCGGTTTCCAAACTGCTGAAAAAGTCACAGGTCCTCCAGGGCTGAGTGACGGGCCTGCCAGTACACACTGGCAGGCCTCAGGAGCAGAGGACTCCTCGATACATCACCACATAAAGCATGTGGCAGTCAGAGCACTCCTGATGGGCAGCCCAAGCTAGTCTGTATGAACTGGGGTGGGGCAGGGGAAGTGGAGAAATGCAGGCACCCAACCTTCACAGCAGTGCATGGACTCCATTATTACTTCAAGGTTTAGCATCAGTTCCTTGCCCTTGTCCTCTAGACTATGAGGGGGTTGACTGCCTACTGACCATGCCACGGTGCACAACCCAGCAAATTTGAACTTTCTAGGCTGTTATGCTTTGGATCTTAAATGCACCCCAAAGGCCCATGTGTTAAAGACTTAGTCTCCAACTAATGGCGCTGTTGGGAGATGGTGGAATCTGCAGGACATGGGGCCTAATGCAAGGAAGTTAGGTCATGGGGAGGGGTGCCCTTAAAGGGAATACTGGGACCCCAGCCCTTCCTCTCTTTGCTACCCAGCCACCATGAGGTGAGCAGTTTTGCTCTATCATGCTCTCTCCACCATTATGTTCTGTCAGAGGCCCAAAGTAACAGGGCCAAGTAGCCACAGGCAGAAACTTCTTAACTTACATCTTCCTTATAAGTTGTTTATCTCAAGTGTTTACAAACAAGCAAAACTCTCCTGGCAAACTGTCTTCCTGGTGGCCAGTACACACTGGGGCTAACACAGTAAAGGAAGTATGCTCAGAAATGAGATCAGAAAGGTAGGTGGGAGACCAGGGCTGGGGTGGGAGGTGAGGGTAAGAAGGAAAGGAGCCCCTCTGTCTAAAAATAGTCATCCAGCACATACCACTGGTCCTTTGGCTGGTTTGGCTGTGTAACCATGACAATCAATTCTAGGCTCTACAAACAAGAACTGTTCTCCATAAGGAGCCAAGAACAACCCTGGGGGAAGTGCCATAGGGAATTTTAAGAATCCTCCACAACTTGTCAATGAGGCACACCAAGGAGACTGCTGAGCCTGAGCCTGAGCTCAGCAATCTGGGCAGGCAGTAAACCACTGGAGGAGTGGCAAACACCCACTGGGGCGTCCTGACCCAACCTGCACTTGGAGCGTCTAATCAGACTGGGCAGCTCCCAGGCCTGAAAAGAATACACCCTAGGGGTGGAGTGGGGGGCATTGTGAGAGAGTGGACCTCTTTGTTAGAACAAGAACTTGTAGCTGGAGGCCTGAGCCTTCCCTTGTTGCTGTCTTCTCCCCCTTATCCCAACCCCTCTGTTCCCCCCACACACCCCCACAGCCCCCATTGCTCGCAGAGAACATTAGACCCAATGTCCCTCTCAGCTCAGGCCTGGATCTAGATGGGCACTCACCTGGGCTGGGGGTATGGCGGGAGTGACAGTCCCAGATCCTGAGTATCCTGGGTAGCTCGGCACCGGCTGCTGCCCAGGGTAGGTCACTGGTGGCTGCCCAGGGTAGGCCCCTGGGGGCTGCTGCCCAGGGGGTGGCAGGGGCTGGCCTGGCACAGGGGCCCCCGGGTATGATGGATATGAAGGCATCCCAGGGGGTGGGTTTCCTCCAGGAGGTGGGTACATGCCATAAGGAGGCACAGGCTGCTGGGCGGGAGGTGGCTGCCCGAAGCCCCCCGGAGGGACTGGTGGGTAACCACCTCCGGGAGCCCCAGGGTACAAGTTTGGCACATTGGCTCCTCCAAATGTCCCAGACATGTTGGTTGCCTGGAAGTACATAAAGCAAAGCCTAAGACTCATGTGCCCAGCAGGGGGCCAATGCACTGAGGATCCTCCCTTCCCTGAGCCTACAGTGAGCTCCCAGGAAGGAGCCTCATCTCAGAACCCACCCACAGGGCTACTGCAGACCTGCTGCACTAAGCTTTCTTCCTTCTTAGCCAACTTCAACCGCACAGGGTCTCCGCTATAAAGCAGGAAGGACAATTACAGTCATGGATTACGAAAGGGTATAAAGTATTTCACTTGCTCAAAGCCATACAGGCAGTGATGGGCAGCCGCGGTCCTGACACATCTCTCTGGACCCAAACCAAGAGTCTCCACCCCGCCTGCAAAGGACACGACCCTCCCTTTCCACACAGACCCTCTGGGTGAAGGTAGGTATTCACAGTCCCAGAAAGTATGGGATCCCTTTTATAGGCTCAGGTAGTCCCATCACATCAACCCGCTACCAGACACCTCACCAGGTGAGAACAGGGAAAACTGGTATTCCCAGAACAAAATCCTGAACCCTCACAAGGGCCTCCTAGGCCCCACCATCCTCATTTGCCACCTCACCCCTCACCTCTCCTCTTCAGTCACACAGGCCTCGCCACTGCCCCTAAGCACATTGAGCTCACGGGCAACTCAGGGTTTGACAGTCCCTAGACATCCATAAATCACATCCCTCTGCCAATTCAGATCTTTCCTCAAGGTTCCTCCCCAGTTACCTCACCCCCTCCCACAAAATACTTATCCCACAGCACCAGCTGCTGCTCCCAACCCTTTCGTCCTGCTCTTCTTGTTCCCACAGCACCCTACTTTCAGTCTGCCACATATGCAACTTATACTGCTGTCTCTTCCCCATAGGTAAGTATACCAGGGATGAGACTTTGCTTGTTTATCCACATTATCCCCAGTGCCTAGAACTGGACCTGGCACAAATTTGAATGTGTACTAGTTGTACTGTTTCTATTAAGCACTCATTTGTCTTCAGATTATAAATATATTCTTTTAAAAACAAAACAAAGAAAATTAGCATGTCTACCCAAGCTATCTGCTATAAACCTACCCAGTACCAACCAGAAAAGCCATCCATATGTGGGGACACACACATGCACATGTGCACATGGACACTGGTATATCAATACATACATGTGTGCACACCCCCGCCAAGTACACAAACATGTTCACCTTCCTCCCAGCCCTGTACTGAGCTCATAAGAAGGTGCTCAATAAGTTTTCCTGAAGGTGCCACCTTTACTCAGCCCTTCAGAGCAGCAAGGACCCCAAGAGACCATCAGCCCAATGTATCCCCTTCCCCTCATTTTATAGATGAGGAAACTGAGGTCCGAATAGGAGCAATAAGCAGGTGGCAACCTGATAAAAACCCTTACAATGCAGCTCAACACACTCCATGTCCACAGTGAACACGAGGCATCTCAGAAGCCTTACGGGGCCAGCAGTCTTGATCCCTCGCAGTGGGCCCAGAGTCAGCCTCAGCAGGGGCCTGGACTTACCATTCCCGAGAGGTAATCCTGATTGAACTGCCCTGCATAGTTGGCCACATTATCCAGTCCAATGGGGGGCATGCTGGGTGGGGGATAGACAGCACCTCCCCAGGCACCACCACCTGAAAGCAACACCAAGCCAGTCAGCCCTCTCTCTTTCTAGCCCAAAGGGGAAAGGTGGACTCCAGGGATTAGGAAAGGCAGCCAAGCAAAGCTCAGGCTAGCATTACGGAAACACTAGGGAGAAAAGGACAGAGGAGAGCAGCAGAGGCCTTCCTCATTCCATGAAACAAGATGGCCTCAGCCTGCTGTGGGGTATTTAGGAGGTAGAGAGGCTTCAGGGAAGGCTCTGCCCTTTCAAGCCCACTGTCACAGAAATGTGAGGACAGACATAAGGAAACATCACCCTAGAACACTGTGCTGAGCATGTGAAAGTGGTGTCAAAGGAGCTCTAAGAATTCACAGATGGAGGAAGATGGAGCTGCATCCAGTAAACACAGTCCCAGACCATTATCCCTAGGGGGACAGTTGAGAAACCAGACCTGACACCAGCAGGGCCAGTGCCTAGTGTGGGCCTGGGATTGCAGTGATAAGGACTGAGTGAGTATTCACACATGATGCCATCACTGAGATCAGCAGCATGGCTGCTAGCACCATGGTGGGGACTGTGCTCCTGCCTGTGCAGCTTCGAATCTACTCAGCAGCTCAGGCCATACCCTTCCCTAGGTCACCTGCCCACTCCCTCCTTGCTGCTCATGCTAATGAAGGTGGCAGATGGCAGGAGCACAGTCACAGCCCTGATGTGCCCTGTGATAGTGGCTAAGCCACCTCCCTCCTTGGGCCCACTCTTTATCTGCTAGATGGGGGACTGGGTTCACATGGTGCTTAGGCCCAGGACCTAAGCCCCCAAAATGAACAATAGCCAGGAGTCCCCTGGAGCAAGGGGCAGAGCAGCTCAGACTTCCTCAGAAGACCATCCTAGTATTGGTCATTAACTCTCCACCTCCCCCATCCTAGAAGCCTCGTATTTTCCCTGCTGTGGTGACCAAACCTCATTTCAGGAAAACGAGGAGGGCCAGGGCCAAGGAGTTCTCATCACCTGCCCAGGTGAGATGCCCTCAACCCCATCACACATGGCTCCTAGCAGCAACAAGAAGGGACATCTGATCCCTGGCATCAGCTTCCCTGAGACAGCCTCGCTTACTCCCTCTGCAGTGAGACCCTGTTTTTGCAGATACCAAGCTCCTTGAGCACAGGGTAACTGTGACAACAGCAATGCTCTGGAGACACTGTGCTACTGGCTTTAACTGACTGCATAATCAGTACGGGGACAACTCAGTGAGGAAAGAAAGAGAAAGGACAGTCTCTGAACAGTGGTAAAATCTGCCCACTGCTGTCAGCTAACAAACAAGGCAGTAGATCCAGCTCTGACCTGGTTCAGGTCCTTCCAGAACCAGTCATACCCAGGCCTCTCCAGCCCCTACCCCCGCTGGGTGGGCCCTCCATTAACTATCCTCCCTGAAGAGCAGAGCTCTGGAGGGGGCAGGGAATCAATGAACTCTGACTCTGCCCCTCCCCACCCCTGGCCAACTCAGACCCTCTTACCTGGTGCAGCTGGGGGGTAGCTGCCAGGAGGTGGGGGATAGCCTGGGTAGCTCATGGTTAGACCTGAAAGGGAAGAAGTTCATTCAGGCTCTACCCAGAGCCCTCACCAACAGGTCTTGCTGGGACCACTTCTTAGCAGAGCAGCAACCTACAACCACATACTTGCAGGCTTGTCTTAGCATAGGTCACTTGACCTGCTCTCTGAAGGGTCTCCAGCTAGGACTTCTGGGGCAGACCCTGCCCCAAACCTACAAAAGCCTGCAGGTTTCCCAGGAAGCCCCTCGGCCAGGCTGCACTATTGCCTGCTGACCAGAACACAGCTGCACATCTGGACCTGTTTTCTGACTTCAGCCACCACCAAGTACATTGCCTCTGGCTCCAGATCTATGTCTTCATCTTCCTGTGTCCTTATCACCATCCCCGGCCAGAGAACCCTGCCTCCTGGCACCCCCACTACAAGTTATTCATAGTCACACTCATCTTGGATCTGACCTCCAGTCCATCAGGCTAGGGACCTGGTCAGGAGTGGAATCATCCTTCCTGCAAACAGGGGCCTTCAGGATGGCTTATCTGCTCAGAGACAGCAAGAAACTTACTTATACACCGAATAGCAAGGGAAAGCCTGGAATCCAGGGCAGTAGGTCGAACACTTGCTCACAATCCCTCTGTACACACAATCCTTGGCAATACCCCACAACAATTAAACTGGGGCACAGATCAGCGGTGACACCAGTCATTCAAAGCCATCACAAAACTGCTGTTCTTGCCAGTTAGCAGCAGCTGCTGCAGTGCACACAGATGCCCAGGGCCAGGCAAGGGCACACGAGGAAACCTGTGGCCTCCTCAACACTCACACCTTGGTTCCAGGACAGCAGCTCCTCCTCATATGTGGGACTCAAATGGCAACAGGCCTCAGGATCATCCAAGGGATTGTAAAACACACTAGGGGTTCCACTCCCTGAGCTTCTGGGTCAAGCAGAACCAGAATTTGCATTCTGAACAAGTTCCCAGGTGACGGTACCGATCTGGGGACCCCACTTTGAGAACCACTGTCTGGACACAATCCTCCTATAAGATGCTACTTGCCTTTCATCTCTACCTTGAAGGACTAGGCATGTTGTTTTTAAGGAAGCTGAAGGATCTCCTTAAGATGCCACAGACTGGGCCTGGCTCTCAGCCCTACAGCCATGGTTATTTGCTTTGGTCAGTGGGTCCAGAGGCAACCAAAAGCAAAGCAACAGGAAGTCAGGTGATGCCAAAGCAGCCTTCGAGAGAGCCAGAACCTGTGACCCACAGCAGGGACTGAGGACCCTTCCCTTGCATGGCTCTCTGTCTTTCTGAACCCCTAGCATGTGTGCTTGAGGTCTCCAGGGTGGCTGCTCCAGAGATGGTGTGACTTAACTCCCTGGCCAGGTGGGAACAAAGCCTGACAGTCCATCCTCACTGGGGTAGAGAAGCTGGAGATGTGAATGACAGGTAGGCAGGAGGGCAGCATGAGCTTCCACTGTCGCTGGCACCTGCCTCCCTGGAGATACCACTCCGAGCACCAAAGCCCCACCGTCCACTCCTTTCTCTTCCTTACACCAAATAAACTTCAGCCAGCCTGAAGATTTAAATGTAAAAAGCAGCCCAGACTTCAAAGGCATAAAACTTCTGCATGATGGAAACACCATAAAGACAGAGTGACAAACTTTGGAAAAAAGTTTTACAACAAAAGACCAATACAATCACTAGAGAAATTGTCAGACAATGTCAACAGGCAGTTACAGAAAAAGATTGGGAAATGTTTCTTAACAACATGCTAAGAGGATCACCAACTGAAAACGTAAGGATCCAAAATTAAAATTTTATTTCCTAGACAAGGAAATAAATGGTATGCAGACATGGGTTTTACCGAGGCATTACCCCCTTGCCATCTAACATTACAACAAATCGCTACAACAAATACTCTGTAGCTGTTTTCAGAATTAGTCACGTCTATATGTGGGGTAGGAAATGATCCCCAATACTCATCAAGATGCAGTATCATGTGTATACAATGCTAAGAAGGAAAGAAAGCAGGAACACGAACTAGAGTACATGCGTAGATCATTGCTGAAATGATATCAAACAGTAACACTGGTTGCCTCTACAGGAGAAAATGGGGTCTGGAAGTAATGGTCACTTTATGTACGGACCCTCTGCATTTTACGTACTGTCTAATAAAAAACAACTTTAGAAAAAGGCCCAATTCAGGTGGGCATGTCTGACCACACTTGAGGCTGCCCAAACCATCTCACATGGCCTTCACTGCTCTTCCAAGATTAAAATAACTCACACAGGACCATTCAGCTCCCAGGTCTGCTTAGACATGGGTGGAGCAGCTCTAACACATGAGGGCCCTCACTCCTGGGAGGGAGTTTCCTGGCAAAACTGGAGTCTGTTCAGGAAAGAGCTCTGCCCTGGGTCCCCACTGGGCTGGCTAATTCCTTGGCAAGGCACAGTCCTCCTGTCTCCCCAGACAATCTCCACTATTCCCCTCTCTTAAAAGAACAGTCTCATTTTCTCCCCATATTTCCCACTCGGAATAGATAAGAACACTCGCCACCCTCATCTTTGAGCCTTTTTGGAACCAACTGCCACAGGGCAGGACCTGAATCACCTCCTTTCTCCAGACGATGTAAATGATAAGCGCTGCCGGTCTCCCTGGAACATGTGGGTTTTCTGGGCAATGGAGCCCTCATATGGATTCCTATTGACTCTCCTTCTCATAGGTTCTGCTGCCTGCTCCATCCTGGTATCTCCCCATTGCAATTCTGACATCAAAAAAACTTAGCTCTCTCAGTGTTGTTTCATAACCACTGATTGGGTTAGCATGGCATTTATGTTCTTCCAAGTAACGGATATAAATAGGTCAACACCAACATTCTGAACTGACAACTCCAGGCTTGATGTCAGACACCAAGCACCCCTGTGAACACAGGCGTTCAACCAGCTGTCCCCACTAACTCTGGCCCACAGCCCCACTGTGTGCAAATGAGGACTATAACAAATGCCTCATAACTCCCAGGAGAAAAGTAAACACAACCCAATAGCCCAGGGCAACCTTCAGGCCATTTCCAGCTAGGGGAACTGGGACAGGACTTCCAGATACCTCCCCTCCTCTCCCTCCCAGCCCTCACTCTCAATGACAGAAGAGAACACAGTGAGCTATAATCCACCAGGTCTCCTTGCACTTTGGTATTCGTCAACATCACACCTTTCTTCTACTGTCCTTAACAAGGAAGAAAGGCACATGGGGAGGGGAGAAGGATGCTTCACATGGCTTATGTGACTATGACAACCAGGACCTATCTTATTCCACATGCTGTCTGACAATGGCACTCAGACACCAGGACTTAGGAGAGGTCCTCCTGCACATGGAAGGCAGCTGGCCCCCTGAGGGGTTGCTCTAATTCTTAGAAACTTGCCTCTGGAGAAATGGCCTGTAGTCCTGACTCTCCTGGGATGCTGCAGCATAAACACCACCTTTCTTTCTCACTGGGACCATCTAATTGCAGCTGTGCACAGATTCAACCAGCTGTGGCCCTCTCTAGCTTGTTAGAACTCAGACTATAGAGCTTGTCAGAACTCAGATTACTGCCTCTGCCCCAAACCCCGCCAGAATCTTAGAATTGGTAGATCTTGGGCAGGGCCTGAGAAGCTGCTGCACTCATTTGGTGTGGCACCGCATGTACTGAGCACAAAGGTACAAAAGTGGCTTCCCCAGAGGGACAGCTCAATGAATGGGCTCGCACAGCACAACCACATGCATGAGACTAATACTGACAGGCAGAGGCTTAGAAGGCTCATCCCTAGACCTGAAGCCCCTCAGTGCCCACCAGCAAACCAAGTAGGCCTGGAGCAGAGTAGATGCCTTTGTAGGAGGATCTTGCCCTGCCCTTTCCAGCCTACTGACTAGAACATTCACTTGTTCATTTTTTAATATTAAATCTTTAATCTATTTTTACACAGCTACTTGGGAGGCTGAGACAGGAGGAGCTCTTAAGCCCAAGGGTTCAAAGCCAGGTGGGGCAACATAGCAAGATTCTGTCTAAAAAAAAAAAAACAGAAGACAAGCCACAGAATGGTAGAAAATATATGCAAAACACGCATCTGTCAAAGGGACTGTTGGCCAAAATATACAAAGAACTCATAAATTAAAGAAGAAAACAAACTATAGGATTACAGAAGCAGGCAAGAGACCTGAACCAGTACTCACCAGAGATGATATGCAGATGACAAATAAACATAGACAAAGACACTCAACATGTCATCATGAATTGTCAACCACAACAACAGGATACCACCATATGCCTATTAGAAGACAATGGTCCACTCACTTTGGAAAAGACTCCAGCAGCTTCTTTACAAAGTAAGCATAACTTTACCAAACACTCCACAATCATGATGCTCTTGGTATTTATCCAAATGGGTTGATAATTTATGTCCACGCACAAAAAACTACACATGGATGTGTGTGCCAGTCACCTCTGTCACTGCAATAAAATACCCTACAAGGAAGAAAGGTTTTTTGGCACATGGTTTCAGTACATGGTCAGTTGGTTCACTGCTTTTGGGCCTATGGTAAGGCAGCACATCATGGCAGGAAGTGCATGATTGAGTAAAGCTGCTCACCTCATGCAAGACAGAAAGCCAAGAAAGAGAGGGGAAGGGGCCAGGGTCCCTATATACCCTTCAAGGACACCCCTCCCCATCACCTACTTTCTCCAAGTAGGCCCCACATCCAAAAGACTCTACAACCTTCCAACAGCATCATAAGCTGACACCCAATCCTTTAACACATGGGACTTTGGGGCTGAGAGATTTCAGACTCAAGTGCAGCAACGTTTACACTGGTTTTACTCATGATTGCTCAACTTGGAAGGAACCAAGATGTCCTTCAGTAGGTGAATGGATAAATAGGGCTGTGTAACCACACAATGAGGTATTATTTTACATTAAAAAGAAGGGAGCTGGAACACAACACACATGGTTCAAGTGGTAGAACACCTGCTCTACCACTTGAACAGCAAGCACAAGGCCCTGTGTTCACAGTCATGCTGCCAAAAAAAAAAAAAAAACCTAAAAAAGAAATGCACTATCAAGTCATGTCATACATATTACTAAACGAAGTAAGTGAAAGACTACACTTTCCAACTGTAGTGTGATTCCAACTATAGGGCATTCTAGAAAAGGTAAAGCTAAGGTATAAAAATGTGAGTGGTTGCCAGGAGTTGGGGGGAAGGAGTGGAACACAGAGAATTTTTAGGATAGCAAAATTACTCTGTATGGTACTGTAACAGTGGATACATGTCATTATACATTAGTCAAGAGACCCAGAAAGCATACAAGAGTGACTCAAAGGTAAACTAAGGACTGGGGGTGGTAATGGTATCAGTGTCGATCCACTGACTGTAACGAATATATCACTCGATGTGGATGCTAACAATAGGAAAGGCTGCACGTGTGTAGAAGCAGAAGGTATACGGGGACTGCGCAGTTTCTGATCAATTTTGCTGTGAATCTAAAACTGTCCTTAAAAATTAAAAAAAAAAAAAAGATATCCAAGTACACAGTAGGGAAATTCAAAGGGAACAGAAAGACACAAAACTTCCTCTATTCCCTCCCCTCCATTGCTTCTCTAAAGACCACCAAAGACTTAAAGGTATGGTTCAAAACACATTCCTGAATGCATACATAAATGTGTACATATATAAATGTACATGCACATACGTATTTGACTCGTGCATGCTCGCACATGACTTAGGAAAAGGCAAGATTTCTTTGGAACCTGCAAACTCTCTTCACTCTAGCACAAAGCAGGCTCTGCTCTAACAGTCCAGGTGATCCTGGGATATAGTAAAAAATACACATTTAGCAGGCACTTGGGGCTGAGCCCTTTTATCTGTGGGTCTGCACTAACTCCAGCTCAGGTCAGAACTGAGCTAACTATGGAAGACCTGGCCAGTGTTGGAGAATTGGTCAGTATGAGAACACCCACACTCCAATCACAGAAGTGAAGCATGAGCACAGGGAAAGCCAGTGTTGTTTTGGCTTTTTCAGTCCACATTCCTAGGTGCTGTGCCTCCTGGCCTTGTCTGGGAAGATGAAGAGTTAGTCCTGAGCTAGTCTTACAACTCATGGCCTCCACATGCTGCCTGGGAACAGCCAGGCACCTATTCATTCCCAGGTCACTGGGGAGGGGAGTGGAGACAACAACCCAGAGCCAGGTGCAGGCAGGGGCTGGAGCCTGAAACTCAAAAGAGATGTCCAAGGTAAGATAGAAATGTCTACATATGGCAGCCCAATTCCAAAAATCTTACCAGCAAGGGTGTCAATCAGAGATCCCGAACCAGGTCATCCCCTCCCAGACCTCGATTGTCCCATGGGGGTGATAGCAGCATCACCTTTTGTGGCTCTTCCTTCCTCTTGGATCTTAAGACTTCTGAAGAGGACTCCTTTCAGCTTTGACAAACTCTCCACCCAGCCCCCCATTCCAGACTTACAGACTCACACATCAACCACACTGAAAGGGATCTTGGAGACTATCTGGTTCCCACCTCTCTTGGTTTTGTAGCTAAGGCACAGCAGGGATAGGCTTGCTCAGATCACAGGTGTGCTAGGGAGAAAGTCCATGACAGAATGGACCTGTTGAGAGCTAACAAAAGAGCCTGCCTTCCTCCCCAAACAAAGCTGAGTCCCAAAACCCGTGGGACTCAAGCCACCCAAGCTCACCCAAGTGGGCTAGCTTGTTTGGTGACCCCAGCTGGTCCACTGCTAACCTGATTTAAAGCAGGTCCTCCAAGAGCAGGAGACCAGGATCTGCCCAGGCCATTCCTCCTAACTGAGAGGTTCAAGAAACCCTCAGTGCCTCAGCTCATACCATGACCTTCCTCCCAATGAATCCAACATTTAAATCCAAGGCTGTTAGCTATGGGGTCAGACACAGTCCAACCCCAGCCACACAGGCTCTATCAAAGTCAGAACAGGTGCAGGACCAACGGACCAGGAAAAGGAGCAGTGGCTTTGGAATACCAAGAAGTGAACTGTGCTATGGAGGCACTGGTTAACAATGATTGACATTTTTTACAACTTTTTTTATTACAGAGAACAGAATAGGGCAATAAATCCTCATCCCTTAGCTTCAAAGGAAGTTTGGCCTCAAGGCCAATTTTGATTAATCAGAACCCTCCTCTTCCTCAGTATTTTTCTGAAGAAAACCCCAGTGTATATTACTTCATCTGTAAGTTTTTCATCTCTCTATTATGAAACTGAAATATGTAAACACTCACACGGTGATAGCTGGACCTCCAGGAAAACTCTTCCACAGAGGCACAGGACTCAGATGCTACATCATCTTAGAGAAGTGGGAGCTAGGGAAACTTAAGGGGCATCTGTCAACACCAGGGGCCAGAAACCAACCTGCTCAGGACTTTTCCAATCCTTGAACTAGTGAGTTCTCACCGACTGGCAATGCTCCCACCATCTGCGACTATGGTTCTCCAGAGCACCGATCAAACATGTGAGCCAACAGCCCTGTCCATCATGCACCTGACTTAACGTGCACCACATAAGCGCCCAGTGAGAGAACGAACGGAGGGTCCCAGGATCCGTCTCTGCTGAGTGAGTCTGGCATGTCACTTGACGTCCCTCCACCTCAATTTTCTCCTTTAAGCCTCTTCCCTCACAAAAGGATTGAATAGGGGTTTGGCCTGCATGTGCAGGACAAGAACAGTAGGACACTTATACCCGAGGCTCTTTAGCAAGGATAAACTTCCCCAGAGGCGTTTTTACATTTGGGTCTTCTGTACAGCAGGAACCCTGCCATGTGACAGTTCACTCTGAGGGCAGCCACACAGCCACGGGGGGGCCGGAGCACACAAGATCTAAGTCTTCCCTCCAGGTAACCTGCTTACTTCTGAGCTTCCACCAGGCACTGCCCCCCAGTCTTGCTTGGCTCTAATCTGGACTTCAACCCAGGTTGCTTAGCAGAAGCGGGCAGTGTGATGTGAGGCTCGGTGCTGCCTAAACCATGTTCACTGCCTCAATTTAGCATTGTGCAAGTTGTGAGATCATCAGGTGCACAGTGTAAAAAGAGAGAGATTTG